GTCATGCCTTTTCTTGGATAGGAGTTTAAACTCAACTTCAAACATTTAGGGTTGCATGTCTGACGCACTTAATTCCCTTTAAGAAATAGGAAACGAAAAGAAAAAGGAAATGCACTTAATCCCTAGTTACATCGGGGAAGCTATAGTGCTACTGACTACCTAAATGACTTGAAACTGTGTGCATCTCAAAGGATCAATCTAGAGAAATATTCTTTAAAACGTCAATAAACCCCATTCTTGTAGTATGATAAAATGTCTAGTATTTTATTAGCATGACACATTGACACCTTGTTATATGTCCCAGTGTGTTTTGTCTGTTTGCTGCTTTAGTTGACTTCGGAGTTGGTGACAAATTCTTCTTTGACATTTCAATATAGCTAGTGCCACTTGTTGTTATATTATTATATAGCTGCTACCTTTTGCTACTTTAATTTGGATTTTGAGATTGTTCCAAGGGTGTGTGGTTTGTGAAGTAGTTCTAATGCATATGGCTGATTGCATATACTTATTACTATAGTCATTCTCTTGAAAATTCATATTGCTCTATCCTTAAGTGGCTAATGATTTGCTAGCATGATTACGATATTATGTACTACTCCAGCTTCAAGTATTCCTTTTTATTTTTGCTTATCTTTCTTTGTGATCTTGACAGGATACTTATACATGATGTTTGATTTTTTGCAGGGTTGCACTAATATTCCTTCTCCTTGTGATAATATATGTTATTTTGGCTTTCATCTGTCATGGGCTCACACTTCCAACTTGTTTGAAGTGAGCATCACTGGATCAACATCTACTGGGATTTGGTTGTTGTTTTCTCGCTCTCTATTGTGGTTCTCATACGTGCAATTCTTTGATCTTAGTTCTCTAGAGGTAAAGCTTGAATTCATGCTTTGACATTGATCTTGTGCTTGCAATGTAGTATCTGTACGACTGTACCAATTGCTAGAAGTTATTCAGGTTATAAGTTTGCTTAAACTCTTGCTTGAGAAACGTGGAGAGAGTTTACTTTTGGAATTGAGCTCATGTAACCTATTCAGATTTCAACGTTTTGTGAAACTGATTATGTAGTATAATGATACACCATTGACTCTCGGCTTAACTCTGGTGGAATATATATTGCTGATTGTATTTTGGAATGTATTCTGTGGTGAATGGTGATGTATATTTTGATATTTTTTTCATCGATCATGTATATATTCTAGTAGGAGGGAGAATATGGATCAGAAGGTTTCAAATCTAGGAATGTTCCGTCTCAATGTGTTGGTGCAGTCTCCTTTGGTGTCACAATGGGGGCATTTGCATCTATACACGCTTTTTGTGTCACGTTTTAACTTGTGCCCGCTTTGCAAAAAAAGTGCAAGCGTACCCGCTTTTTCGCATAACTTCAGCATACGGGGCTGAAGTAGCAAAGTCAATCACGCAAAACTTCAGCATTCTAGTAGACGGGCCTGAAGTTCAGCTCTAGAGCTGAAGTTTTTGTTTTGTAACTGGCGAACTTAAGAAGTTTTGTTTTATAACTGGAGCTGAAATTTTTGTTTTGTAACTGGCGCAAGCTGAAATTTTGTTTTGTAACTGGCGAAGTTTTTGTTTTTGTAACTGGCTAGAGCTGAAGTAGAAGAAGAAGATTTAGCTGTTGAAAATCTTTTAATAGCTCCTGAAAATGACCTTCTATGTCTATCTCTATGATCTTGATCAACAACATTTTGTTTGTTCATTCCTTTTGAATATGCACCTTTTTGAATTTGTACAAATGGTTCTGTTTTCGCTTCTTTGACATTATAACTATGTTCTTTAGCCATTGGTAGAGACCCTTTGTCAAAGTTTGCTGAGTACTCATTTGAACAACCAGATTTGGAAAAGGACTTGACTTAAGCGCGGGAGGATTTAAGTTTTGAACCAAACGAGGAATTTTTAATCAGCTTGAGTTTTCATGTCCAAGACTTTTTTGAATTTTCATCTGTTGGATTAAAGCTACTGGTTTGATCTTCTGTTGAGTACTCGAATATGTTTTCGTAGTAAAAAGGGCATCCTCTATATGATTCGAGCCAACAACTGACCTTAAGATTGTGCAGAGTAAATAAAATCTTAAATAACGAATTATACCTCTAGCATAGCAACCATGTTGTTGCAAAGTATGTGGACTGTAGGGCTTTCCTTGTTCAGTGCTAGAATATAGATGCTTGCACCTAAAAAGAAAGAAAGAAGAAGAAAATGAAGGAGAAGGAGGAGAAGAAAGGGGGCTGAAGTTGTTTAAAAAGTGGATAAGTTAAACATTTTAAAAAAAAATAGGTATATGTTAAATGGGGGCGACTGTCACAAAGGAAAAATCAAAAGATGCTCATTTCCTCTTGTATTTTGGTAAAATAGGTCAACTGACGAATTAGTTAGCTTTCATTTTGATAGTGTCACTATAACTAGACTTTCGAAAAAAAGAATATATCATGTTTCCTATTAGGTAAATACAAAATTGAACCTGTTACAATTAGGTGATGATGATAAATATCGGGAAAAAATAAACATGTTACAATTAGAAGTTCGGTCCCTGTAAGATACTTCATATTTTATGCAAGCAATTGTCCATTTAATGCTGTCATTCAAACTGATAAACTGGAATTAATCAACGGCCTAAGTTAGAGCTTGTCGTATCGGGCTTGTCTAGTACAATTTACCTTTCTTGTATGATTTACGAGCTATTGTATAGTAAACAGGTTATTCAATACACACCCAAAAGGTAACAGCCACGGGATTCTCTTGGAATCTCCCCGCCCCCACAAAAAAAAGACTAATAACGTAAAAGCGACAAAAAATGGAATCAGAAAGTTGCAGTAGGAATGTTATTTTGGGGAAGTTGGCTGGAAGGAATGTTAGACGAGTCACAGTCCTATTGGTTGGAAGGTTAGGTTTCAAACTTTGGCAGATTTGAAATTAGAAATAAAACAAGTTTGCGTTATTTGATGTTGAAATCCCGTAGTTCCTATCTTGAAATGAGATAGTACCATTAATTTTGTAGCATATAATTTTATCTATAATTATTTCAAATTTGAAATAATTATCAAACAATATTGATATGGTAAAAGTTCGTTTTCTTACTTTTGTGTTAGCTCATGACCTTAAAGAGTTGTATCTAGGGCTGTACAAAGGAAACCGACAAACCGCTTCAACGCGATAACCCGAGTTAAATCGAGAAAAAAAACTCGATTATGGGTTGGTTTGATTTGGTTTGGCATTGTAAAAAAAATCCGACCATAATTGGTTTGGTTTGGTTTTAACTAAAGAAAGTCAAACCGAAACCAAACCAACCCGACATTACATATATATAAATTTTAGATATATTTAATATATAAATATACTTATTGTGATGTAATTTATAAATCTTTCTTAAAAGATTTTATAATTTTAGTTTTTGAGGTATTATTTTAAGGTTGGACTTAGAACTTTTGAATGTTCCAATAAGTTTTATAGCCATTAATATTAGTAAATTAAATAGTGCTAACAAAGCCCAAACCAAAATCAAATCAATACTAATTCTAACAAAAGACATTTAATTCAATACTACGAACGGGAATGCATTGAATATCTATTTTTTGTTTTGTAATAATTTAGATAAAAATGCATAACCTATTTTTATTTTTTCTTTAGCGTTTAGTCATGTATTTAATAATTCCTTATTAGTCTACTTATTTTAGCATGACTTAGTACTTTTAGATTATGTTTATTTTTATTATGGCTTTTTAATTAGCAATATTTATATTACATTAATTTTATTGTCTTTATTGTTGAATATTTTAGGATAATGTCATGACATATCTCATATTTCGTATTATTTTCTTGGAAAATACTTTATATAGTTGTATCTTACTAGGACTAAAGAAATATTTTGAGCATAATTTATATGTTTTGTTCTACGAAGATTTTACCGGAAAAAAAAACCCTGAAAAAACCCGAATAACCCGAAAACCCGAGAGTGAAAAACCCGAGTTTTATTGGTTTGGTTTGGTCTTTAGATTCAATAATCCGACACAATTGATTTGGTTTGGTAATTGTAAAATACGAACCAACCCGACTATGTTCATCCCTAGTTGTAACACATACACTCTATTAACGTTTTATAACATTTTTCATTTATATCTAGTAATACTAATAAATTATGTAATAATTGACGTATTGAATCGTATCCATATAATAAATCTCTTGCTATGCAAGTAACTCCACAAAAAGTGAAGAAATGATCAAATATTGGTGTAAAAATCAAGCAAAATTGGTTGGTTTCCCAAACATCAACCATAAGAAGAGAGCTAAATATAGTAAAAGTGTAAATCCTGCTATTGACTTGGGTGCATCTTTCCCTCTTTTTCTTTTCTATTTTTAGAATTTTATTACCAATAATTAATATTGCATAATTCAAACGAAATAGCATTTGTTATGTAATCTCTTTCGTGTAACATATTAAAAATCTTATCATTCAATTTACGATATGATACTAAAAGAATAAAATCAGCACAAAGTAAGAAAATCATGCAATAATTTAGCCTACGAACATATAAAATTTGATATTGAAGTGAATCACATTTTTTAATCAGCTTTAATAGGTTAGCAAACGTATGTTTCTCTATTATATAAGCTATTAAATAAAAAAATCTCAAAAAAATAAATGAATATACATAGTACAATATTTTTCCTTTCAGGTAGAAGCTCACCTCATGATAAGCATAAAATTTCAGAAAAAAAAAAAGAAGTCAAAAGAAAAAAATTCGAACTTTGGACATCACCTTTTTAAATTCTTAAAATGAAATTTTTATTATTTAAAGATTACAATAAAAATACTATAAGTCTTATAAAAACAAATCAATTTACATCTTAACATTCAATTCAGATACAACTATTCAATTTTCCAAAATAATAATAATAATATTATATTCAAATAGAGCAAACGAAATATTAACTAAAAAATGGAAAAGCAATAAAAAAAGAAGGGCTCGCCCACGATAATTAACGTGCACCCTCGTTCGTACTCCTCTGCTGTCCTCTCTTTCACTCTCTCACCCACAATCACATACATTTTTGGCAATAATCACCATACCTCTTTCTTCTTCCTATTTCTTCTTCTCCGCCATTGATGATCACAGAAACCACACTATCATATTCATAATACACGTAATTGGTATATAATATTACTAAGAGAGAAGAAGAAATTTTGGAAAATATAATTTTCAATTTAAAATAAAAGTAAAAAACCTTATAGAATCTACCAGAAGAAAAAAATTCCTAAGCAGAATATCAGCTAAAAGTGCACAGAAAATGAGAAACCACCATAAGAATTTGGCCTCCGCCGGAGAGACAGCGGTTTCATCGTCGGCCGAGCAATCACAGCCGTCCACCATCATGGTGCCGAGGCGTCCGATGATGTCATCATCTCCGGCAGCCACGTCATCGTCGGAGAAACCAATGGCGGCGTTGGAGGATCCGGCTGCCTCCCGCGACCCTACCTCTGTCACAGCTACTGTGGCGGCGGAGTCCGTGATTGTGGAAAGGCGAGGTGAGTATGCGGCGGTGTGTAAATGGGCAATCAGTAATTTCACACGAGTGAAAGCTAGGGCGTTGTGGAGCAAATACTTTGAAGTCGGCGGTTATGATTGCCGTTTGCTAGTTTACCCTAAGGGTGACTCACAAGCATTGCCGGGTTATATATCCGTGTACCTTCAGATAATGGACCCTCGAAATACGGCGTCGTCTAAATGGGACTGCTTCGCCAGCTACCGCCTCGCTATTGAGCATCCAACGGACAGCTCAAAGTCTATCCACAGGGACTCGTGGCATCGCTTCTCGTCGAAGAAGAAATCTCATGGCTGGTGTGATTTTACTCCTTCTAATTCCATCTTAGACTCAAAATTAGGATTTTTATGCAACAATGATTGCATTCTTATTACTGCTGATATACTTATTCTTCATGAGTCAGTTAGTTTTTCGCGTGATAATAACGAAACGCAATCTAATTCTGCTTCGAATTTAGTAGTTACTAGCCCAGCTGGTGATGTTTTGAGCGGGAAATTTACTTGGAAGGTTCATAATTTTAGCTTGTTTAAGGAAATGATTAAAACTCAGAAGATTATGAGCCCGGTTTTTCCCGCTGGGGAGTGT